TACAGTGGAATTCGTTTATTATGACTCCGCCTATATTGACCAACCGCTTAATATGAAGTAATTACAGTGTTAAGTTTGGTTTTCATAATAAATTCTCCATAGGAACGTTTGAATATAATGACTCCGTTTAAAATGACATATCGTTTATTATGATTGATTCTCAAGAAATCATATCCGGCTATAGTGACCCAAATGATTACTAATAACATTTTCGCTCATTTTTCTGATCCTTCTTATGTATTTTCATCAAGTAAAAGTCGATTCTATTAACGTTTCGCTAAAACGAGTGGCTATCTTCTTTAAAGGTCCGTCTATCTTCGACATGGACTGTCCACATCCAGCATCGAAACGTTAGGAAGCAACTCTAACTGACGACGACCTTTAGATCCGAATCAGGATATCAGTTCATCTACAATTTGTCATTTGAAAGATTTCCAGTAACAAATCTGCAAATCAAAAGCACTTTTGGACAATATTGACGAACGATCTCAAGGATTTCATTAACGAATCGCTGCGAGGTATTCGTTTAAAAGTTTAACAATTATTGGTTTCAATGATGGCATGAAAAGGGTGTAAATGATTCGTCCACTAGGTTTGGTTTCGGTTAACAACCTGTAGCGAATCTCTCAATGGTTTTGCTTGTTCAGATTGTCGTTTTAGCAGGTGCAATGATGTGATACCGATACCTGATGTTCCGACTAATTATTACTATCACCGAAAAAGATGAAACTAAATATGGCGTGACTTAAGACAAAAAAATCTAACAGTTTTCTTTTCGTAATTCGCTTTGGCAGGTGCTCCGTGCCGCCTTTTAGACACACGCGATGCCATTTCAACTTAATATACCTTTTTTTGGGAAACCAGCAAAAGAATTCCTGCACTCTAACCGTTTAAAAAGGCACCACAATAAGCGCAACGGAATCTCACACCTTTAAGACGTCATAAAACTATTTCGTCGGTTTCTTGATCACAAAAAATTACTGTATTAGCTTACGTATGTAATGGTTACAGGGTAGGAAATAATTCAATATAACATAATAATCAATATACAATTAAAGTAAAGGAATTAAAACACTTGGCAAGTTTCACAATGTTCATTTGTTTCTCTGACGATCCTTTCGGTGTTTAAACCATTTTCAAAGAGTATACAAAAATTTACTACTCTTTGAAAATGGTTTAAACACCGAAACGATCGTCAGAGAAATAAATGAACATTGTGAAACTTGCCAAGTGTTTTAATTCCTTTACTTTACTT